TTCCCACTTACTGCCAGAGAGGATGGATATAAATATTTCTTCTCCTATGAGATAACGTAATCCGAAATATTCTAATGACATAAGGCATTCTGAAAATTAATCCGGTGTGCATTCTGAAAATGCAGCTGTCTCTGCATATCAGATCGCCTTATACTGTTGGTCGGAGTTGTTGGGTTTTTTTTTTGTCATAACCACTAGGTTATTCTGGGAAGTGAAGCAATCACATTCTACTGCACTATAAGCAGTTATGCTTCAGATTCACTCTGGCATCATAGAAGCTAGTGATGGTAATACCCTATTAGGTCATCTACTCCATCCCCATGCTTGGGAATGACTGATCTGTATGACGGATCCTGTAACTATATGGCATCTTGTAGGAGTGAGAGCCTGAAAATGGCTCTGAAGAAACAGCCTCGCTGTGTTAAAAACACTGAGATTTTATAACAATCTAACCTAAAGCTGCGAAGTTATAGGTATGGTTGCGGCGTATGTCTTTGAATGTAGGCAGTGCAAACGTCAGAACATTTCTTGGATGACGCTAGTTACTGTCTAGCCAGCATTACAATAGATGCACCAGCAGAGGGATCCCAATCCTTCCTTTGGGGACATTAGATTCATGCCAACAACTCCCCCACTTACATTCCAGTTTAACAAAATTCTAGCCTATGCTCTTACACTCAAGTTCAGGCAACCGTTACCGTGTGCTCAGAATACAGCTGGCAGGAAAGTAAACCACGCTGCGCTGGCAGCCTAATGGTTCTACTCAGTGCTTTTTTTGTTTAAAAAAAAAAAAAAAAGGTGTCGGTACACCGGGGAAACGTTGTTGAGGCAAAAAAAAAAAAAAAGCCGGGGTGGGGCCGGCATTGCCCTTTTAAGACACGTGGACCAGCCGACTATTGGACATTTGCATACAGAGGTGCTGGTACACTCCATTCTTTCCAGGTAAGCTCTGACTGGAGGTGCCGGTACTGCATCTGGAAGTGCAGTACCGTCACAAAAAAAGCACTGGTTCTACTCTTTCATGTGCCTACCGGGTCAGACAGGACTGAAGGGTGCCTCCTTTCTCAAGTACAGTATCACTTAACCCTCTTGAGTCCCCACTCAGGTCTGTTTGGCTTGATATACCTTTACCAGAATGATGTGGTAGCTGAAAGCCAAGCTAGCCAGGACCTCTGAACAGCACACACAGGAACTGTCATCAAATTGGACACCAGTGGCTATTAGAAGATGAACAGCAGCTACAGCAATAAATAATGGTGTCACATTCGTTATGCTGGAGCATTTTAATTACAGTAGAACGTTACTAATAGAAACGTATGTCCAGGGGTCATAAGTCTTAACAAGATCATAGAACCTTAGGGCTGGAAGAGACCTCAGGAGACATCGAGTCCAGCCCCCTGCCCAAAGCAGGACCAACCCCAACCAAACCAGGACTTTGTCAAGCCAAGACTTAAAAACCTCTAGGGATGGAGATTCCACCCCCTCCCTAGGGAACCCATTCCAGTGCTTCACCACCCTCCTAGGGAAATAGTTTTTCCTAATATCCAACCTAGACCCCCCCCACTGTAACTTGAGACCATTGCTCCTTGTTCTGCCATCCATCACCTCTGAGAACAGCCTCTCCATCCTCTTTGGAGCCCCCCTTTAGGAAGTTAAATGTTTTCCCCAAATTTCCCCCCCCCCCCCCCACTCTTCTCTTCTGCAGCCTAAATAAGCCCAAATCCTTCAGCCTCTCCTCGTACGTCACTCACGGTATTTCTTCTCCTATGACATTGCTAGTAACTCACTACAATCAAACCAAATCATGAAAGAAAGCCTTGCAGACAGGCAGGCAGGGCCATCCCATTAACGGGGGGGGGAGGGATTTGCACTCATTTCCTAAGAGGAGAGTTTGGCCATTAGCGCCATTCCACTGGCTCTCGTAGTGTGGTCCATAGAGTAGACCACTTGTGGTCCATGACCGTTTTGCTTGTGGGCAGTGGGCTCGGGGCTCAGCAGCGGAGAACCCATGCTGGGGAGCCAGCTCTGAACCCCTCCCCACTTTCTGGGGGCGAGCCACACGGGCCAGATCCTGCTCTGCATGCTCCTGCTCCCCCTTGCTCTGGCTGAGGGACCGGCAACACAGGAAACTGCTCGCCTGGAGGCTTGCCCAGCTGCTCTGATTGGCCAGAATCACGACCAATGGCAGAAGAGGAGGGTGGTGCCTGGGAGTGGTGGGAGGCACAGAGCCAGGTAAGCGACCCCCCCCCTCCAGATGCCTCATGCCCAGCACATCCCCACTTCACTCCTGCACCCTCCCTCCGGATCACCTCCACTCACCGTCCTCTCCTGCATCATCCCTCCCTCCCAAACCCCCCACCCTCAGCCCGTTCCCATACCCAACCTCCCACCCAGCCCCCACACCTCCAGCGCACTCCTGTGCTCTACTTCTCAACCACCCTCCCCCCGACACACACACACCCTTCTGCACCCATTCTGTCATCATGGGGGCTTGGCTGGTGGTCTGCGGGAAGGTCTGCATGGAGCGGGGTGGGCTGTGGGACAAAACATTTGGGAACCACTGGTCTATTCCAAAAAGAATTTGTTTTTTCTGTGTGATGGAGGGATTGTTTTTATCGTGGGAATTTAAAAAAGCAAGGGTCATAGTTTCAAATCGAGTCACTGAACGGACAAATTCCATGAATTAGCTATTTGCATGTGCAGTCCGGCCATTGTGTGCCCAAAATCAGTTCCTAAAAGTGACGGCACACTGCTGAAAGAAGAGGTTTCTTACTCTGAAAATTTTCATGCTTACGCCGGAGCTTTGAGAGGTAGATATGAGCTTGCAAGATCACCAGTATCTAGCCAATCTCTCACAGACTAGAACATGCATATTTTCCCTTAAAATGCAGATTGGAAGACTGAAGAACAGGCCTGTTGAAGGGAAGGGGAGAAAAGAGACTCCAAGGTCTGGCAATTCAAAAGGGCCAGGGCTCCAGCTGGGAGCACCGCATGTGCGGATCTAAGGGCTAGGAACGGGGGCATGCTCTGGGTGGTGCTATGGGCTGGCTTTCCCCAGCCCCATACCTTCCACCTGAGGCTCCATCCCTTCTGGAAGCAAAGAGCTCCCCGCACCCCCCGAACTCCCGCCCTTGCCCAAGGAACTAGCATGGCTGTTGGCTCCCGCTGCTGAAGAGAGTCATAACTTCCCATAGGGACTTATAGGCACAGTGCAGACCTGCAGTCTATGAGGATTCCTGAATTCATACCTGAGCGAGAGTGCTGATAGGACAGTGGGGTGCAAGAGACTGGGTAGTAAAAGGAAGTAGGAGAGTGAAACCCTCTGTCTCTGAGGCTTGATCTACGCTATAGAGTTAGGTTGATGTATGGCAACTTATGTCGACCTAACTATGTTGCTGTACGCAAAGCAGTCTTGCTCCCACCAATGTAAGACCACGTCTTCACTCCACAGAAGATGGATGCTGCTGCAATCGATCTTCTGGAGTTCCATTTAGTGAGTCTAGTTAAGACTCATTAAATCAAACTCAGCAGGCGCCGCCACCGGCATCCAGTACCCCTGCTCTTGCAACATCCGGTACGTCTTCCACTGTGGGGACACTGCCAAGCTCAGCTTACAGTAAGCCGACTTCAGATATGTATAATACATAGCTGGAGTTATGTACTTTACGATAAGCTGCCGGGTCTAGTTTAGACCTCACCTACGTGCCCTACTACACCAAATCATGCCCAACAGGTATAGGGCTTGTGTCAGTGTAGTCAGGGTGACACAGTGTCCATATAGACACTGCAAGGACTTTCATTGGCTGTTGGCTGTCTTGTCAATTTCACAGTTTGGTGCTGGAGCTGGGAATCTAGCTAGGCAGTGAACCAGTAGCCAGGTTACCCGGGCTGCACGCAACGCATAGGGGGAGCAGCAGCATTCAACCATTCAGCTTCAAACAGGGATTTGAAAAATCCCTCCATTGACATCACATGCCAGAAGTTTGGAAGAAATTCAGCCAAAATATTTTTCAAAGCCAAATTACTGCTGTCCTGAAAGATCCTGAATGTACTGTTAGCAAATGAAGCCCTTGTTATATGCATACTGGATATAAACTTAAAAGGAGCCACTCTCCCTCAGCTAAATCTTGCTCCTACAGGCATCACTGCAAGTTTCAACACTGACATCGGCAAGACCAGGACTTTGTCCACATTTAAGGCTAAGACCAAGTAGACAGCTTACACCAGCAAATATGCTTGTGCTTGCACACGGCGGATACCTGCACACACAAATGTAAATTTGTCCAAGCAACGGTGCAGACTACTTGCAGACTTGCACTTTCATGCTTTCAAAACACTTGTCAGTGTTGGTTCTACACTTCCCTTCTCGCAAGATTCCAGGTCAAAGAGCACTGCTGAGAAAAGATGATCTATTTTAAAAGATTACTTACCTACATCACTTACACTTGTTTAATTAGCACAGAACAGGTTGTAAACATTTCATTGACTCTTCATTGTTTGTTGGCTTCCTACCTCGCTCTCAGATGGGACCATGAAACAGTTACTGTAGTTCATTTCACTGTTGCTTCTTTGCATAATCTAACATGAGGGATTCAAGGGGACTTTGGGGACTAAATTTGCACTTGTGGTTAATGCATGGGAACAGACTTAGCCATAGATATGTTGTGTGACCAAGGGAAAACAAAGGCAGCTCATTTCCTCCACATGCAAAACGATGACACTTCCTTATTTCACCGGGAGATTACAAGGATTAATTTGATTGTATTTGCAAAGAGCTTGGAGGTCCCTATGTGAAAGATGCTACAGAAATGCAAAGTACAGTATTCTAACCCAGTATTCTTCATTCTAGAGTCACATATTATAGAGTCCTTTGTTTGATATAAATGTGTGTGTGTACGTGGCCTAAAGTAAGCCGATCGCCTTCTAATTCAACTCCCCTCCCCCACAACTCAGATCTCCTCAATATATTTCACATGAAATTGTAAAAGAGAGACTCATACCCAGTACGCGAATTTGCATAACTGCTCCATGTAAACCAAAGAACATCCAGAGGGGCTGGGAACAGTCCACGCAGACCTGCATGCCGGCACTGGCACCGTTGTGACTCAAATGTAGCTCGCCTTCCGAATTCACCATGAATCCCAAAATGTCGCCACTCTGGAGGGGCACCAACACTCTACAGACGGCCCAGAATTCCTTCCTGTCAACCAACGACTCCGGGTTATACGGAAGGTCACTGGGCCGCAGAGAACTAGGGTCACAGGAGGTTACGCCGTAAGACAGTGTGCCTGAACGGGAGGCGTTTGACTTGTTAATTTTGACAAAAATGGTTTCATTGATTCTAAGGGGTCTGCTGGTGAAAACCAAAGTTCTCTCTTCCCTGGCATGTTCCAGCCGGGCTACAGTTTGGTCATCCAGGATTTTGATATGGGCTCCCCTGAGCTGGTGGAAACGGAGGTCACTTTCGAGCTGGGATGGGAAGAGATGGGAATGCTGAGAGTTGAGGGAGTTCTGAGGGATGGGACACATGGTGGCCAGCACATGGAAATTCTCTTCCTGAAGATTGAGGTCGCAGAGGCTCACGGAGAGCCGGGTGTCCTCCGTCTCCCTGCGCAGTGAGGGCCGGCGAATTGCAGTGAAAGATCTTGGACGCAGGCAGTCGGGAGGAATAATTTCACTGTCTGTGGAATCAAATGAGAGAGAGAAGGATCACTCAAGAAATAATAAAAATATCCAGGGTTGTAGGAGTCGCTGTTGGTTGGACTGACACATTGAAGGGAAAAGTAGAGAGCTTCTGGCTCCAGTAAATTTTCCTTTAAAAATAAAAGAACAGAAGAGCGTAAAATACAATATTTTTGCAACTCTGTGCTAGTCCTATGCTTTCCCCATAGCATCGGCCACTATAGTCACTATAAAGCTCAATGCAGGTAGACTATACATAATAAAAAATGACTGAGGTAATAACTCCTTGGGGAGGGGTACCAGAGGGTAAATAACTAAGTAGGGATGTAAGCAACTAGTTGACTACGCAATAAGCATGTGCTTATCAGGTAATCGACTACTGACTTGACCAGTTGCTTCCCCCCATTTTCTGCCACTATCAGAGAGAGGCAGCCGGGGCGGGAGAGGGAATGGGAGCCGGTGCTGGGCGCACAGGGGAGACAGAGGCATAGCGGACGACCGGCACGAGCTGGGAATCAGCTGCCAGGCTCCTAATACATTTAAAACGAGAGGCGCAGCTGAGGAGGGGGGAGACCGGGAGCGAGTCGGGACAGCTGATTGTCGACTCGCTCCCGGTCCCCCCAGCTGTGCCTCTGCTTTTTAAAATGTATTAAGAGCCTGGCATCTCTGAATGCATTTAAAAAGCAGAGGTACAGCCTCTGGGACCGGGTGTGAGCCGAGAATCAGCTGATTCCCGGCCGCCTCTGCCTCTTAAATGTATGAAGAGCCTGATGGCTCTTCATACATTTAAAAGGCAGAGCTGCAGCAGGGTTAGCTCCGACGGCCAGAAACTAACCCCACTGCCGCTCTGCAGTGTCCCCCCTTATCGACTAATCAAGTAGTCAATGGAAATTCCATCGACTGCTCGATTAGCTGATTTCACACAATTATCATCCCTATAACTAAGACGCAAACGGGAACCTACGGATCGGCAGCAATAGGGGCTCTGAGCTTGTCCATGTCTATAATCACTTCTCACAAGGGCCATGAACTGAATAGCTAAGTAGACATTGATTTTTTTAAACAAACACTAGTCTTGTAAATTTCACTCCCATTTGTTATTTGACACAACTTGAAATTTAATTAATATTTCTAGCGATAATTTCTAGCTAGTCTACCTATGTCTGTAGAAAGCCAGCCCTGAAGCGGATAATATCGCAGCTTAGGGATTTTCTATAAATACAGCACAATCGCTCATTATCTCCAGGACAAATAATTAAAAATCAAACCAGTAGATAAAGAACAAAGAGAGCAGACGCATACACATTCAAAAGCAACAGAAGAAAAATAATTACACATTATCCCTTCTGTTATGTCCCACCTGATGCTTCAAAAGTTGCTCATCGATTTAATTCCTCTGCTAACAATTTAACCAGCTGGCTTTAATACCTAACTCACTTCTATTTGGCACAATCTGAACTGTGTTCCTACCCTGTCAATGAGGCAGAGCAATTATATGGAGGAAAAATGTTGAAGCAACAGATTTAGCAAACCTAAGTCCTGATTCTGCCGCCTGTGCTTAACTTTGTGAGCTGTGAGTATTTCCTTTGATTTCAGTAGAACTAGTCATTGTGTGCAAAGTTAAGCATATGTCTAAACCTGTGCAGGAATGAGGTCTTATGATACCACGTGTGGGCCATATCCTGGGAATCTTTCTCCACTTCAATGGGTCTGAAGAGCATAGTGTGGCTACAAGCGAAGTCCAAATCTCTGAGAAAAACTGCAGAAGGATTTTTGCGGACTTAGCCAGAATTCCTCTGTGGACTCTGGAGGAGCCCACACACAAAGCATCTCTATTACCATATGAAAGGGAACAGCATGAACCCTTCTGTTCCCCTTACAGCCACGGCTCTCTCATCACAACCCCTTTGAGAAAGCTATCATCAACAGCGGCGCTCGCTTCAAATCGCATCTGTGATCTCGTGGCCAACAGGGACAGCTCGCTATGCAGAGGAGCAGGTGGGAGGAAAGGGAAGGCTTCATGTGCACATTAAGGATGTTAAATTTTGATTAATAAACTAATTGAGCAGTCAATGGAATTCCCATCGACTACTCAATTAGCCGGGATGTGAGGGGGTGCTCACTATCCTGCTGCAATATTAGAACATAAGAATAGCCATACCGGGTCAGAACAACGGTCCATCCAGTCCAGTATCCTGTCTGCTGACAGTGGCCAATACCAGATGCCCCAGAGGGAGGGAACACAACAGGTAATCCTCACGTGATCCCTCCCCTGTCACTTACCTCCAGAGAAACAGAGGCTACGGACACCATTCCTAGCCATCCTGGCTAATAGCCATTAATGGACCTAACCACCATGAATCTATCCAGCTCTTTTTTGAACCCTGTTAAAGTCCTAGCCTTCACCGCATCCTCTGGCAAGGAGTTCCACAGATTGCCTGTGCGCTGAGTGAAGAAAAGCTTTCTTCTATTTATTTTAAACCTACTGCCTATTAATTTCATTTGGTGACCCTGCTGCACCTCTGCCTTTGTAATGTACAAGAGCGGCCTGCGGTGCACGGAAAAGTGAATAAGGAAAAAATTATGTACTTGTTCCCATAATGTAAGAACTAATAGTCACCACAGGAAATTCCTGGTAGCAGGTTTTAAACAAACCAAAGGAAGTTCTTCTTCACACAGCACATTGTCGGCCTGTGGAACTCCTTTCCACAGGAGGTTGTGAAGACCAGGACTTTAACAGGGTTCAAGGAAGAGCTAGATACATTCATGGAGGTTAGGTCCATCAATGGCTATTAGCCAGGATGGGTAGAAATGGTGTCCCCTAGCCTCTGTTTGTCAGGGGCTGGAAATGGGTGATGCAAGAGGGAGTCTGGCCATTCTTATTTTCTTATGTTCTTATGACCCGACTGCTGCGCCTCACCCTTTGAAATGTGCAAAAGCCGCCCGCGGCTCTTGTCTATTTCAAAAGAAGAGGTACAACAGTCTGGACCAGCATGAGTGGGGACTGCTTCAGTACCTGCTTGTGCCGTGTCCTTGCTGCATCTCTGCTTCTCCTGCCCCCGCCCCCTCCCCCTCCCACAGAGATGGTGCTGGGGGGAACCAACTTTTAAGCAAGCTCCCCCCACACTGGCTCCTGCTTTCCCCCCCTCCCCCACCCACACTGCCTTTCTCTGGTCAACTAGTCGAGTAGTGACTGACAAGTATATACTAATTGGATAGTTGGCTAGTCACTTCCACCCTAGTACACTTGCTCCCACCTTGTCCACTTGCACATGGCCTCTGGCACACAAGCAAGGGCCATAAGAATTGGCCCCAAAAGAGCCCATTGCTCATGTGCAAGGTTGCACCCGAGTGACTGGAAAATAGAAGGCCACAATCCCAAATTCAGGTTGAGAACTGGAAGCAAATCTGGAAATCTGGTGGGGAGGGAGGGTACGTCTAGACTACAAGCCTCTTTCGAAAGAGAGCGTCTAGACGACAAGCAGATTTTTCGAAAAAGCGAGCCGCTTTTTTGAAAGAGAGTCTAGACACTCTTTTTCGAAAAAGCACAGTGTGCACTCAATAGCGCCTTTTTCCAAAGAGTCCTTTCGAAAAAAGGCGTTATTCCTCATAAAATGAGGTTTACCGCGATTGAAAAAATTGCCACGTTCTTTCAGTTTACTTTCAAAGGAATGCAGCTGCAGTTTAGCCACAGTTGAAGTTTTTCCGAAAAAACCCTGTAGTGTAGACACACCCTGAATCACAGAATCATAGAACACTAGAACTGGAAGGGACCTCGAAAGGTCATCGAGTCCAGTCCCCTGCCCTACTACGCCAACATCATAATTCCTCCTTGTGGTGCCCAGAACTGGACACAATACTCCAACTGAGGCCTAATCAGCGCAGAGTAGAGCGGAAGAATGACTTCTTGTGTCTTGCTCACAACACTCCTGTTAATGCCTCCCAGAATCATGTTTGCTTTTTTTGAAACAGCATCACACTGTTGACTCATGCTTAGCTTATGGACCACTATGACCTCTACATCCCTTTCTGACGTACTCCTTCCTAGACAGTGGCTTCTCATTCTGTAGGTGTGAAACTGATTGTTCCTTCCTCAGTGGAGCACTTTGCATTTATCCTTATTAAACTTCATCCTATTTACCTCAGACCATTTCTCCAGTTTGTCCAAATCATGTTGAATTATGACCCATCCTCCAAAGTACTTGCCATCCCTTCCAGCTTGGTATCAAACTTAATAAGCGTACGCTCTATGCCATTATCTAAAACATTGATGAAGATATGGAACAGATCCGGTTCAAAACAGACCCCTAATGAACTCCACTGGTTATGCCCTTCCAGCAGGATTGTGAACCTTTAATAACTACTCTCTGAGAACCGTTATCCAGCCAGTTATGCACCCACCTTATGGTAGCCCCATCTAGGCTGTATTTCCCTAGTTTATAGATAAGGCGGTCATGTGAGACTGTATCAAAGGCTTTACTAAAGTCTAGGTCTACCATGTCCACTGCTTCTCCCACTCATGCTTTCCAATATACAGGTTAATGTATATGTCACCACTGGCCCCGCTGGATAGAATGAGACTTCTGTCCCTCTGCCGGGCTGGAAACCCACGAAGGAGAAAAAATGAACGGTAGCAGCTGATGCGGATGTGAACTGGTAGAGACCTTTGTGCACAGAAACAGAAGGTCCTCTAAATTTCATTCCCCTTAACCACACATGTGCAGCCTAGTTGACAACTGTGATGTGTGAGTAGCTTGCAGCAAGGTTTCAAAACGCGTATTTTCCGCAAGGTTGCTTGATGTTTCCCTTCAGCTGCTGGACAAAAAAAACTGAATGGAGGTTTAGGGAGAAAAACTGTCTTGTGGCTGCCACACTGGACAGAATGAACAGATCTGCATTCTATGCCGAACTGGGACTCACGTACATTGTTTCAGGGCAAGCAGTTTCAACCACAGAGTGGCTTGGTTTCCCCACAGAGTGTGGCCCATCCATATAATGG